TTCTGAATCTTAGTAATGTCAGAAGTTCACTTTAATTCGAGCTGAAATATTCGTCATAGATCCTTAAGAGATACTTGATATCTAATCAGAAGCAGAGGAGCTGTTTCAGCAGTCTTTTTGAGACCCCATAAAAGGCTTTGTACGTAATATTCGCGATCCTGGCATCTTATGCTTATGTCTTATGTCTTTCAGTTCTTCCCGAAATTTCATAATCTTTTGATTTTAGCGACTTGTTTGATAGACAGACGGATGATATTTTTGGCAACTGCATCAGCTATTTCATTTCTCGGAACGCCATTGTGGCCTTAACCCCAGTATTTACTTATGCCTTTCTAGCAACCACTAAATCTACTGCCTTTCTACTTCTAAAGACATTCTGAGATTATTGACCTACTTGTTGCTTTTCCAGCGACGTACATATTTTTATATTATTTATGTTGTTATCGGTTTGAATTCACTAAAAAAACATTATCCTCCTTTAACTGAATATTACGGATCAACATTCCCTGTAAGGACAGATGATTGAAAATTTTTTGATGCCTCATATTAGAGCTAGCTATATTTAGGTAGAAGTTGTCTCATTTAGGACAATAAAAGAAAAAAAAACACAATTTTCTAAAGTATTTTGAGATACTTTCATTTACTCACCGACATCATTGGCTATGGAGAAGTTCTTCTTCTTTACTGACGTAGACACCGCTTATGCGGTTATAGCCCAGTTAGCAACCGTAAGTCTGTTTGTTCTTTTCCTATGTATAGATTACAACTTTTAATTACGAGTTAAATTTGTAATCTATAGACTTTAACTCTCGAATCTTATTTCTTCCTTTCCATTAAACTAGCTTTTTAGTTCCAATACTGTTTCTAAATGCACCAAAAAAAAAAAAAACAGTTAAAGACACATTCACAAAATAAAACGAAAGTTCAGCTTTCGTAAATTTATGTGAAAACATTATTCTGTGCCATCTGTCAATCAATATGGTTCAGTTACAGACTAGCCACTGGATAAATACCCTCCAGGCGCTGATCGATTACAAAATTTAGAGAAATTGGCATAAACATAGAAGATTTTTCAAAATTGAAGAAAGATCGAAACAAAAATTTAATTCATAAAGAAATTTAATCTCTCCCTTTATTAACTAATTAGCACTAAACATAACAAAGAATAAATATTAAGGAAGATTAAATTTAAACCGAGATCTTATGGCTATTATCTACATAAGATCGTTTTACTGTAATTTTATGCAAATTCACTAAAAATATGTGCTAATTTCCTAAACGATCCGTTACTTTTATACAAAGAGTCACAATGGTGGTCCAACGTAAATTCAGAAGCCTGACAAAAACGCGTAAAAAGTGAAAATAATCAGTAAATTACATATTAAAGTGTTGTCGCGATAATTAATCATATTTTATGAAATACACTCGCTTCCATGTGCCACCGATCAAACGAGAAGAAGCCGAGTGGCGGATGGGTGTGAAAGAAAACAATAATTAAAGGTTGTCGTTCATTACAATCAAGCGACGGAAGTAACAGTGTTATCGGCGACTGTTGGCCGGTGGTCGTTCGACGTTTGACGTTTGCGTATGCCCAGTTGCCGGTGTCGCGCAACGATTCTAAGCTGTTTACACGCACTCGTTGTCGATTTTGTCCAATCTACACATACCGCAGTTGAATTGTCTTCGAGCGGCAAGGTAAAACTGATCGCATTCGGATTAAAAAGATACACGAAATTAACTCAGAGCAGACTAATAAGCCGGCAACATGGTTTGAACATTCAAATAGCAAAGCGAAAGAAGCGAAGCAAAACAACAACGCAACAAAGGGGCAAGTGACAATGAAACTGGCGCACTTTTTTCGGATTTCTACTTACTTCACCTACATAACGTAAAGTATGTATGTAGCATACATATGTATGGTCATATGTACACGCGCATGCGTTGGCTGCAGTAGTGTCTTTCAAAAGCGTTAAGTCATAATTGTGCGATCAATCATGCATAAATTGTGAGGAAAACAAACACGCCGACAACAGCGAGAAACATCAGCCGATCAGTCGGCGAAGACGTACTACAAGTTTCAATTCTGGAAAATTGGTGAATGGAGTGAAGTCGAGAATTGGCCCATATCAGCAAGTCCATTGTCTTCGTTTCACCCGAAGACTTTGCCACATGCTATGGTAATTGCCTTTTGATGTTTTCGTTATGGTGCTTTTATTTTTACAAAGTTCCATCACAATTGCTACTTGTTTCTTACTTTTTTATGGTACATATGTATGTACATACGTGTGGTACATATGAATATTATGTATTTATGTATAAATGAGAAGATGGTTGCTTCAAAACGGCGGCGATTAATGCGGTGATTCGTCGAAAGGTTATTTAAATAAACATATAAAGCGTGAGACAAAGGCATGAAAGGCTCAAAACACCTGATAGATCTTTTGTGAGACGCTAAAGCGTTGATCTCTCAATAAAATTCCTTGAGAACACCTTTTTGTGAGACTCTAAGTCATTTATCGCTCAAAAAATTTCCTCGCGCATTTCCAATCCTCCAGCTTATGTGTGGCGCAAAAGTTTTCAAACACTTTTATTATTATTATTATTTATGAGTCTAGAACTGGTTATATAAACCTACTTATCTACTTTTTTGTTGAAAGCAAACAAAATTGAAGAAAAAATTTTAAGTAAACTCGTTTAAGTTTTTTCTTTAATGCTTTCACCCCCACTTTATGCAACTTACAAGATATTACGATAACCCCAAGCAAACAGAATTATACCTATAGTATACTTACTATGCTTGGTATATAAGAATACAGTTAGTTACTTCCATAGCTTGATTGGCCCTCACTCCTTTATTTAAGTTGTATCATCCCAATGATACGGCACTTTACGTGTAATAAATTGGCCTTCTTTTTTTGTTGCCACATTAAGCATGCAATCAACACTCTCCGACTGCTTAAGAAATCGAGACAATGACTACGCATTTGGGGGATAGCAGTTGGTTAGGCTGATGTCGGGTTGCCATCCGTCATCAAGAATTGCATTCATCGCCATTGTTGGTATGTGAAATGATACGCAGTTATCGTACAACAATATTTGGCACTTTTGCTATTGTGTATTATTGATTTTTTTCTTTTGGTAACCCCGTTCTGTTATAAAATAAAAGGCAAAGGCATTTTGCTAAAATAAAAATAAAATAAGAAAAGTCTTTACTCAGAGGATATGAAGTTATAATACCCTTCACAGGAGCATATTTTATAGTATTCAAGGGTATAGCGGTGCCTTGCACAATAATCTATGCAAAATATCGTGAACATATCTTACATGGGTTTCCTCGGATAAAAAAGTCTCTTTTCAAGACTTTTTTTCATATAAAAACTAAGTATTTCATTAGAATTTTGTACTGTTACAAACATATGTTATTAACAAAGAAATTTTGAAATTACAAAACAAAAAAAAAAATTTAAACTCGTTCAATCCGATAGTTTTCCACATAAAGGTCTTGAGTTGAATCGGTCAGCTGTATGACCGATAAATGCTATAGTAGGTCCATACGTTCAACTCTCATTCGAAAATTATAGCAGTGCTTTGGATAATAACCCGCAGCAAATATTGTAAAAAATTATTATCTTGATTACTATATTGCCAAATGTCATAATAGTAAACGAAAGAATTTGAAAGAAGTGAATTAGGCCTACTTCTTCGTTTTTTACTATATATATTACACTTATCTAAGCTCTTGAATAACACAACACAGTCACCCAAACAGTGTAATACTTCCAATTTTTCGTGGGGAACACCAACCGAAAATGGCCTTGGCCTCACAAGGTTTTTCTATTTATTGCAAAATTTCGAAACTAAGAGATCGCCTATACCGTTATATAAAAACCAGCTGTCATCCGTTATTCCTCTATTAATCTTAAATGTTATTCCCAATTGGGCATTCGGCTGTCTTTATGTCTTATTCACACATTTACTGAGCAAAAATAAAGCTTTCATTGAAATTGTTTATCGGATTGTAAAACCAATCAATTACAAAGCCATTTACAATGTTTGCTACGAAGCAGTAAATGAGGGAAAGAACAATAGAAATATAAAAATGTTGAAAATACTCTCCAAAAGACAAATATATTTCACTTTAGCACAAGTCATATTTCACGTTAAGTTAATATATTTTTCAATGATTGTCTCAACTGCAAATAAACTTACATTTGCTCAAGTAAATTCATGTGTATAGTATGTTTACTTGTACTTTTTTGTGTTGAAGAAAGTGCTTCTGAGCTGAGGCAGCAGGTGTTGGCAATTCTTGCGAAACTTACACAATTTTCTTGAGCCCACCGTTTGAGAAAAGGGTTGATTTTTCATGTTGCCTCGCGAAAGTAACCAACTGCTTACTGCTTACCGTTGCCCTTGAGGGAAAGTCTCTTTTAAGTTATACACTAAGTTATCAGTTATTGTCCGTTTTTTCCTCGTGCACTTCACAATTTTGATGTTGATTAATTGTACTGTCGCCTAACAACACGCTTCGCACTGGCCTTTGCCCCGTCAAAGAGTGACAGCGACTGCGACAGACGCATCAGTTGCCACACCTTTTGCATACGAATGCACAACTGTGTTCGTTTTCCGACAAAGTTAAATTAAAAATTTCCACTAAAGTCAAGGAGTCAGTACCAATTTGGCTGAAGTTTGATTAAATGCGCGAACATTTGGCACAAGTGCCGCACTCGCCTGAAAGGTAGGCATGGGGGGGAGTACATAACGATTAGCTGTCAGTTTACCATAATTTGGTGGCTTCAAGTTTTGGCTCAGCGATAAAATCGCAAAACGGTTAATTAAGTGGCATAAAATCAACTTCAAGCTGAAACTCTGAGCATGAACATGAAGATTTATTTTCATACAGATACTGTTGCATAGAATGTTTTAAATTACTTACTTTAAAATTTCAAATAAAAAATCACAAATACTTGTGTATATTTATATAAAACCTTTGTTATTTTCAGCAAATGGCTCCTATCAGCCGGGCATGGAACCGAAACGCCAACGCACTGCTTACACCCGCCACCAAATACTCGAATTGGAAAAGGAATTTCACTACAATCGTTATCTCACACGACGAAGACGCATCGAAATCGCACATACACTGGTGCTATCGGAGCGACAAATCAAAATCTGGTTCCAAAATCGACGCATGAAATGGAAAAAAGATAATAAATTGCCCAACACGAAGAATGTGCGCAAGAAGACGGTCGACGCGAATGGAAATCCAACACCGGTAGCGCCGAAGAAACCAAAAAGAGTGAGTGCAAAGAAGCAAGCGCAGCAACAACAACAACAACAGCAGCAGCAACAATTGCAGCAGAGTAGTCAGCAACAAACACAACAACCTCCAGTAATAAATGAGGTAAGTTTGAAACTACCTTTTTAAGAAGTACGTATATAGATATGTGTTTACATACACCGAAATTATTGATAATTCTACATTTCTGCGATCTCTATCCGTGATGTCGATTCAATATAATTTGAAATATTTATATGAAACTTGAAGTGTTCACAAATATATATTCAAAAGAGTGCTTGAATTGATATTTACTCAAAATATTGTGTATACATTTGTTTTTCAAGATTTATTAAGTTATCTTAATCTAACTCTGTGCGAATCTCACATCGCCCCTCCTTCGTAACTTTATAAACGTAAATAATATAGTTTATACCAAGATATGCAATATTCTTACGACAGTCAAACTACGTAATCGACTCGGAATATGATTTTTATTCGACTGTGATATGTTAACTTCAAACAATGTTCTTCCACTAGCAAAACAACTTCACAAAATAAATAATGTATTTCGGGTGGAGTAGGCGATACCATACTTTGCATGATTTTCACTTAGAATCAGTCAAATTTGGCAGGAAATTATTTTTTACCTATAAAATAGATAACTCAAACATATATGTACGAAGTATTGGGACAAAAATTAGTCCGGCCTTCGTATAGCGAAAACAATGATTACTCCCTAACGGGTGATGTTAGCTATTATAAAGTCTGATCCATTCTGAGGCTCCCTACTTTTTTAAAGAAAAAGCACAGACATTTTTAATATCAATTGGAATTTTTATTTTCATGCGAAAGAACATTTTTTGGCATTTATTTTCTGAAGATTATCTCTTTCAAATGGTGATCGCGGCTACGTCTCGGATGGTCCATCCATAGAGTCCAATTTTGGATGATTCGTTCGAGCATTTCGAGAGCTCTTGAATCTCTTCAGGTTGCTCTTGGTGCCACATGCGCCAATTTTGCTTGTTTACATACCCATTGAGCCAGAAAAATTTCAGCAAAATTTGCATCGAAAACGTCGGACCTTTTTTTTCCAAAAGCCCATAGAGCGAAGCGATGTCGCTTGGGAAGGTCGACCGGCTTCAGTTCTTGCACAAGCTATGTATATTTTGCACACTTTCAATTCACGATCTCGACCTGAAATGGACCAAGTCGTTCTATACGTTAGTCCGAGATTGCTGCGAACATTGGCATTTCTAAAATTTCCGAACATATTGTGTAGAACGTAAATAACTAGCAAAACGTTTTCCGTTAAGAGCAAACCGCTCACCGGTTACGTTTTCTGAGGTAGTTTCTTTTAAATACATATTTATATGTAATTGCTATTAGGAATTAACATTCGGTGCTGCTGAAGTTAACGTTTTTAGTTGTATACTTTTTTAATGGCCTCACTCCTACTAAACAAAATTTCCTCTATTTCATTATTTCATTTCAGTGCTTACGAACGGATAGTTTGGAAAGCATAGGCGATGTCAATTCGTCGCTGGCGAATACACCGTATATGCCTATCTCCAGTGATCCAACGAACATGCTTAACGCTGCAGCGCTGCACCAGCATCCATGCAATAACAGCAGTAACAACGGAAGCGGCAGCTACACAGGATCTCAACAACAACAACAATTGCCAAATAGTCATACGAATGGTGGCATTAATGGTGTACCTGGCAGCTTACAGGCAACCAACAACAACAATCAAATGCATGCGAGCCTCCATCCCGCCAATCAGCACACACACACGTCCCTGCCGCCGCCAACGCAGCAACCGGATATGATGGCGAATCTGCAACATATAAAACAGGATTATGATCTAACCACACTGTAGAAATTGCGCATATGGGACAGACGCTCGGCCTAGGGTTCTTAAAGTATAGACAAATTAATTATTTTCATACAAACGAGTCTTGAATTACATTTACCTGCACTTTTAGTCTCTTAAATGCGTACTACATTAACTGTAAAAGTAAGAATTTTATGAGTTCGCACTCACTATGTCTCAATCGTCGTATTTTTGTAATTTGGTGGGCAGTGAACAATTATCTTATTTATTTAGGCAATATTCATGTTATTTACTTATAGAAAACTGGAAATGGAAATTTTTATTATATTTTGCTCGCATTACACTTTATGAGCATAATAAGTGCAAACTATGTTTACCTTAACCTCGAAAATCTTATAATTTTGCTTTTTTCTTCAAAAGACATAATTAAGTAGCTTTTCAAATTGCCATTTTCAATGATGGTCAATAACAGATTCGGAAAATGCAGTGAATTAGTTAAGTTGAAATATTAATGTGCATATATGCTATAAATACAAGTACATATGTGCATATGTATATGTGTACAAAGTGTTTCTGTACAGTCTGTACATATACAAGTACATAAGTAGTGATTTAAACTGTAGATATTACTGTATTTACAAATGGCTTATGTACTATTATATTAACTATATACATATATACGTACATATACATATATTAAGTAATGTTATTGATAAAATTCAATAAATTCTTGTCGAAAGAAATAATATCAGTACATATAATTAAATACATAGTTATAGCGTATACATAAGTAGTTATAGTCATAATTTAAAATATGTTTTATTTAACTTAATTATAATAATGTTTAAGAAGATTGTACACAAAATTATAGACAATATTAATACCAAATATATTGAAATCAATATCAGATTTGTTGGTCTTTAAAATTTTATGATATATATATATATTTTTTTTTTTAAATTTAATGTGAATGAGCAGCTACTTAAAGCCTCTTGGCGGTATGAAAATTTGTACTGTAGGCGAAAAATAGTAAGACTTTTTAATTTAACTTTCGACCGAAAACCCATTCGCATATAATTTTTTTTTTAGGTTGGTATGACTGTCTGTGACATGTGGGCCTAAAGTCACATCAAAATAATAATTAGTGTTGCGTATACACTTGTCTTTCTCAAGTACATTAAGAGCATTCGGCGATTTTTGCAATTAGTGAAATTATTCTACAAAGAAGTTCCACTAAATTGTGTGCGGTATCACATTTTTGGTGTCGAAATATTCAGAATGTTGGAAAAGGCTTTCAGCTTTAACGCCTGCTAAGCAATGTTTTCCGACTGCCAGGATGTCATGAAACGTATTATTACTGGCGATGAGTTTTGGATCTATGCTTACGATCCAAAAATAGGCGATCAAACTGCCAAATATTGTGGAAAAGGAGAGCTGAAGCTGGAAAAAAAAACGCCATGTTCCTCGATTATCGAGGTCTGCTGCACACCAAATTTTTTCCGACCGGCCAAATTGTCAACAAGGAAGCCAATTTGAGTGTTATGCGTCGTTAGCGCGAAGCTGTGCGTAAATGGAGGACTGAATTATGGGCCGACAACTTTTGGTTTTTGCACCACGATAATGCACTGCGTTGATTATTCTAGAGTTTTTTGCCACATTTTCAACCAGTATCGTGTCGCAACCCTTATATTTGCGTGTGACTTCTAGCTAATATGAAATTTGAAACTACTGCTCCGGTGAAACTGTTTTGAGTCAATTGAAGGCAATAAACGGGAATCGCTACCCGTCTTGATGACTATTCCAGCAATTGACAACTGTTTGGAGGATTGAAAAAACGTAAGTGTATTGGGGCCAAGGGAGACTTTGAAGGGAGAAACTTTTTTTATGACACTGTAACTTTGTCATGATGCGTTCTCCAAAGCGAAGATTTCAGTTTCGAAAAAGCCACAGGAAGCCAAAGGGAAGTCTGTTTCTTATTTGAACAAAAAGCCAGTCACAATAGTGCTAGAATATAACGTATAATCAGGCCTTTCGGCACGAGTCCACAAAGAAAATGTGTTGAGTCGATACATGAAAGATGTTGAGATTCTCTCTTAGCTCTCTCTCTAATGCCGAAACGACGATTTTGAAGCTTGTTTCTTAAAGTTTTCGTTTTCAACGACAATGTAAACAAGATACCTCCATAAAAAAATCATTAGACTAAATTTCGCTTGTGAAACTATGTGGCATGACAACAAAAGTACTTAGCCAACTTCATTGCGCATTGTCATTCCTCTTTGTCATTTAATTAGGCTGTGTTTAATCATCGCTAATATTGTTACTATCTGCATCCACTGCGGCATTCCAATGTTGCTCAAGCAGTAAGCGTAAGTTAATGTGGTGGAACCTTCATTATCGGCGCGTTCCAAACAATGACAGTTTATCGCGCATAGCCACACCATCGGCATTGTCAACAGTCACTTCGGCATAGTAGTCATCGTCATCACAAACGCCAAATTACTTACCAGCGAACTGATGCCAATGCCCGATAAAAGCATATGCTAACAAGATTCCTTAATTAAAAATCGATTCTTTTGATTGATCACAACCCGTTGTCACCTGTTAGCTTCTGGAAATGTGCCCAACAAGGAGTAACCAAACCGCGGCACACTCAGCATGCGAAAGCCTAAAAGCTTTACTTCGCAGATTTAGTGCACATGGGTGCTTTTAGGTACGCATGTGGGGTACTTCGTAGCTCCGAGGCTGCGGGCGGCGTTCGATGTTGTCACGACAGAATGCACTCGGTGGCGCATATGAATGGATTGAGCTTCTGGTACGTGTCGTCTCTTAGCGCTTGAGTTCTTTGTACTGCGTTTACGTCATACGAGGTTCGCGGAATTATTTATAACTTCATGGTGTACAGCAATTTGCTTATGACCGCTCGTGGAGTGTAGCGAGATATCAATCTACATACTGAGTATTGAGTGATGTATTTGAGTTTGTGTGTTAAACTTTTTGGTATTTATTGTTTGCTTGCTGATTATTGTTTGAAATGAATACAATAAAGAAAATATGTTCATAAAGCATTATTAAGTATATAATATATATAGATATATAAAAAGAATAGTACTGTGCATGCTTATTTGCTCAATTTCGCACTTTTGTGCAAACTAATACACGCTGGCACACGCCAATATATGTTTACGTCTTACAATCTACCGGCTTTAACATCGGATTGCCTGCCGTGAACATGAAAACACTGTTAGCGTTTAAATCTTTCGAAGAGATCTTCAGCACTTCTTTTCCTAGCTAAGCTCAAAATTAGCCTCATGTGCATAGCAAAAATAAAGGCACTTACTAGGGAGTACTTACATACATACAAGTAAAATGAATAAATTTATCCCCCTTGGTCACAATACCCTTGTGCCCACAATGCGTGTAGCGATAATATTTTTAATTGACTCAAAACGATTTCCTCGTAGCGGTCAATTGAGTTTGAAGTCACACGAAGCTAAATCGACGGTATGTTGAAAATTGGGCAAAATACTCACGAACGATCAATGTAGTACCCGACCGTGGTTTATCGTGAACCAAAAGCTAAGAGTTGTCGGTCCATCTGTTCCCACGACAGTCGGGTCTACGAAAACCGGAACGGACCCGGATTTTTATCCGGCCAAGGACTGTCAGCTCGGCAGAATTTCTGCTGTTACAACAACAACAGTTGTCGGTCCATAATTCCGTCTTATTTTTAGGAATAGCTTCAGGAAAACAACGCATAAAACTTAAATAGTATTACTTGTCAAGAGTTTGGCCGGTCGAAAGAAACTTTGCGTGATTTTTTCTGCTATACCAAGTATAGTCTGGGGAGCCAAAAAACATCCGTTGGAAGGCGAGCTAAAGTGAGAAGGCGCTGGGCTTAGACACCGCCAATTGAAAAGAAGAAAACAGGGGCATAGTCTAAATTACTAATCCAGTAAATCGACTTGAATATACATATAGATGCATACTAGTACAACAGATTCAATTAATATTATTTATAACAAAAAATTAATTTTATTAAATATCAAAAGCATTATATTCAAGAATTAATGCTTAAATTACTTAAAATACCAAAATGTTATGTTATGTGTAGAACGTGTTCCAGACGAATCTTATTGTCTTACACAGTGTGTTTTTGTTTTCTTCGCCAGTAGGAGATGCCACACCCACATATCAAACATACAACAAATTTCTTCTCATCCCTGCTCATAGTGGATAATCCTTGCAATGTCCTGCCTGCATAAAGTCAACCCTTTACCGTTGCGCTTAAACGAAATTACTGAGATCAGTTTTTTTTTCGCTACCAGAACCCATTGTGTGGCACGCCTTTGATTTGTCCTAGTTGGAGTTCCTTAAAGGGCTTCCTGTGTTGGTGAACTATGCAAAATACAAATGCCTATTACTTACTTATTTTGTCTACAGTTGCTAATTTTATGCGATTTACCGTTTTGCATATTTGTGCTGGACGCTCGTCAACGCCCATCAAACAACATGCAGCAGGCTCGCGCGGCGGGTGGTTAAAGGATTAAGTGCAATGACTCGTCGTCGTGTGTTCGCTGCATGAGTTTGGCTGGCAAAAGGATTAAATTTTGACTTTTCATTTGTTTTTTCTGCGAATGAAACACTTTGAAGATAGGCCGCTGCAAATTTTTACAGTTACTTACAGCTACTGGTCAGTAAAGTATAAAATTCATACGTCTTTTTGTATGTAAAAAATAATGTGGGAATAGTTAACGTTTTTGTTATAAGTCTGTCTGCTTTATAAGCGGATTCGGCTTATATACATATTTATTTATTTATATATGCAATATCTTAATGTGAACTTAAGTGTTTCGATTTTTGCTTGGTCTCTGTTTTGTACCAGCGCCATTTCCTTTCAAAGGGCAAGCATCAAATCACCGACTGATTTTATTAATTTCTTATTTCTCTACAATCCGCGTGCCCTCCAGCTTTCACACGAATTCGACTCCGAATCGAAATAAATTCACCATTGGATGGTGAGATTAAATACTTGTCGGATCGCTCTTGTATCCGTATATACTTGTACATACTCGTATGCATAACCACTGTCTCTTATTTCGCTGAACTACATATGTCATTGCCGTCGTATGTCTCGTACAGCTCGTCGTTCTATCGAATGAGATACTCGATGTTGCCAATGCGCAAAGAACCATAAATCTTCCGCAGATCGTTTCTCCCGAAAACTCGCAACGTCCTTGTTCCATATAGCAGGACGGGAATAATGAGTGACTTACATATCGATTTTGGTCTTTGTTCATCGAGGGAGGACTTTACATCTCAATTGACTACTCAGTTCGAAGTAGCATTTATGAAAAGGAGTTATTCTGCGTCGGATCTCGAGGCTGACGTTGTTGTTAGTGTTAAAGCTGGTTCCAAGCTAGAGGAAATTATCTACGACTTCGGAGTGTCAAACAGTGACGTGGAAGCCGACAGGAAATATTTCGTTTTGTTCTGGTTCACAACCAAACCCATTTGCTTCGGTTACTTATCCAGTCTGGAGAAAATAGAACTAACGGCGCGGGAGTTGAGGATAAGATATCAATATCATCGGCGCACGCCAACAACTATACACTCTTAAAGAAGATTGTACC